CTAACCCATGTCTGAATAATGGCTTCTGTTTTGATGTGGTTGACAAGAGTCTAGGCCCGTTGCCACCTGGCTGGGGGGGGGGGGGAACGGGCGGGTGGCAAAAGGCCAAAACCCGGTTGACAGAATTATTCCTATTTTTGTCAAGGCGGATTTGAAGAAAAGTAACTGTAAAATCAGTTAAAGAATACCTAAAATCTTTCTTTGGCTTCCATTGTGAAAAACATTTAGTTTATCTATTAGGATCTTCTCATAATATCTGATGTTTTTTTTCAAATTAGAGCAGCCCTGAAATATCAAATAGGCCTAATACTTCATCACAAAATTAGCTGTATGCCATGCCAATTACAACATTTATGATTTTTTTTTTCTTAGACATCAATGAGTGCTTAAATAGACCTTGTCTGAATGGTGGCACATGCCTTGATGGTGTGAATGGATACACTTGTCTATGTCCACCTGGCTGTAGAGGTCCTGATTGTGAAGACAGTAAGCATTCATTTATTGACATCTTGTTTAGTATAGCATTCAGTCAACACAATAAAATACTAGTACATGAAGCAACATACTGTAGGTCCATGCATAATTTTACAGAAATGTCAATGGACGCATGAAACCAAAATGATATACTCCAAATTTTCTATTAGTGTAATGTTTCTGTAGAATATTGCCTGTGCTTGTTAATTTTTTAAATTGGCTCTAACTATTTAAATTGGCTTATGACTCTGAGCCTGGGTGGAAGCAGTGCATACCTACCAGCCAGCAACTAATTCCACGAATTATCTAAGATTTATTCTTGCTGATGAAGGCCACAGGAGTGGCAGAAATATCCGAGTTACTAATAAATCAGTGTTCTTAAAGTCTACTATTGAAGCTGTTTCATTTTCTCTCTCTCCTTTAACGCCCCCCCCCTCTCTCTCTCTCTCTCTCAAGGCAATATATGTTTTTATATATATATATATATATATATAAATTATATATTGGTTTTTTTTATTATTATTTATATTGTTATTTATTATATTATTTTTGTTCCAGCTGTCAATGAATGTTTAAGTGAACCGTGTAAGAATGGTGGGATATGTACTGATGGTGTAAATAAATACACTTGTGAATGTGCACCTGGTTGGACAGGACCTTTGTGTTCTCATAGTAAGCATATGTCTTATAATAATAATAATAATAATAATAATAATAATAATAATAATAATAATAATAATAATCGTAATAATAATAATAATAATAATAAACTAATATAGCACAAACAATATCCAATCAAAATGGTCACAAGCGCTGTACAGAATTTAAACAAAATAAATTTACAAAAGATCAATACTCGATATGTTATATACATTAAAAGTTAAAATAGAAAATTAGTACATTAAAAAGTATATCACAATACAATTAAAAACATCAAAAACCTACATAACCTACTAAAATTTATAAATGACTCGACATATATAGCTCAAGACAAAAGTCTTAATTTACTATTCTTATTTTCATTATACATATATTGTTGTTTATTTATGTTCTTGTAATTAAATTAGTTTTCTTTGCATTTTAGACCCAGATGACTGTGATCCTAACCAGTGTTTAAATGGAGCCACATGCATTGACCTGGTGAATGACTTTCGCTGCGCCTGTCCAGCAGGATTTGATGGAACCCTTTGTGAAATAGGTAAGAAGCCCCTTGTCACATCTACAGTACATCTTGTACTCTAAAATATCCTATAAATATACACATTACCTCATTGTAGTAATAAAATAGTAACTTTTGAGTGGTTTTTTTTAAGGGATGGTTTTATAGATCAGTTATACTGTGGCAGCAACTATTTATTCTTTGAAAAAGTTTGTTTTTTATATTAAAATAAACCATGTCTGAATAATGGCTTCTGTTGGGATGTGGTTGACAGGGGTCTAGGCCTGTTGCCACCTGGCCGGGGAGGGGAGAAACGAGCCAAAACCCGGTTGACAGAATTACTTCTATTTTGTCAAGCTGGATTTAAAGGAAAACAACTGTGAAATCAGTTAAAGAATAGCTAAAATCTTCCTTTGGTTTCCATTGTGAAAAACATTTACTTTATCTATTAGGATCTTAAGAAAAAGAGTGTAAGTTACCTTTTAGAGTTGTAGTTTAGTTTCTAGGAGCTTTCGGTGACATCTCGTCATCTTCGTCAGCCGTTTGAATCTGGCGGTTAACTGACACGTCAGCATTGATGTTCGTGTGATGACGTAGCAGGCTATTGTATATGGGTGGTAGCTCATATCTGCAATCACGGTTTAATGGTGGCGTTCTCACTTTAATTTCTATAGCTTCTTTTATTTTCTACTGCTGAAAGTATTTCAACCCATTGATTTAAATGTTCCTTGACACATATATTTAATGATCTTGCGGTCTCTCCGATGTACGTTTTTCCGCACGTATCACATTCAATTTTGCACATGACCCCGCACTGTTTTTTAACTGGGGTTGGGTCCTTGGGTTCGACCAATTGTGTCCGCAGTGTATTGAAAGGTTTATAGTAAGCTGTTAGTTCGTTTCTTTTGTAAATTTAAATTAGGGCTTCCAATGTTCGCTTGATGTATGGGAGAGCAAGGATTAGGATTTTCTTCATGATATCTGATGTTGTTTATCTAATTAGAGCAGCCCAGAAATATCAAATAGGCCTAATACTTCATCACAAAGTATGCTGTATGCCATGCCAATCACAGCATTTATGATTCTTTTTTCAGACATAAATGAGTGCTTAAGTAGACCTTGTCTGAATGGTGGGACGTGCCTTGATGGTGTGAATGGATACACTTGTCAATGTCCACCTGGCTGCAGTGGTCCTGATTGTGGAGAACGTAAGCATTCATTAATTGATGTCGTTTAGTATAACATTCAGTTAACACAATAAAATACTATTACATAATAACCAACATAGGTCCATGCATAATTTTACAGAAATGTCAATGGATGCATGAAACCAAAATGATACACTCCAAATTTTCTATTTTAGAATAATGTTTCGCAAACTTATTTTTCAAAGATCGTCAGAGGAGGGCGGAAAAAAGTAAAAATAAAATTACCATCCTTTCTTATTTAGCAAGTAGTTTTGCCAAAATATCCAGACGAAGGAGAAAAATAAACATAAAATTATATTAGTGAATTTAGTTTAGTAATGGGATGTTAAATGTAGGTAGAAGCTTTCTCCCAGGTCTCAGTCTTTGCACAGTAGTACAGTAGATGCGTGAACATAAAGCCTGTTACACGAAACTAGCAGTTAAACGCTAGAAAACTAAAGCACACGCAATGCCAGGCTAAGCATGGGCGCTAGCACTACCAAATCAATTAAAATTATCATTATTGGCGGACGGCAAGGGGGTTCTCTAAACAAGGTATAAAAAAAGTTCCGCCTAGTGGGTAACAATAAAGTTTTGTCTAGCTTTTCTGTTGCAGACAAGCCAAACTAGTCAATCCTTGCCAATAATGATTGGAGATTTGGCCAAAACAAGTAGAAATGTACAACGTTTTTGAAATCTATTGTATTGCACTAAACTAACTTTATATATAGTATCTGTACATTATGCTATGTTATTTTTCCTATGTTTGATGTTAAAACAAAAGTTATTACAGATTTAGTGGCGAAAGCCTTAATTTTTCCTACGTTTGATGTTAAAACAAAAGTTATTACAGATTTAGTGGCGAAAGCCCCCCACCACCTCCCCCAAAATATACTCACCCACCCCAGTCGTCCCCCAAAAATCACCCTCAAGTAGTTGAAAAAATCACCTTATTTTGCTAGTACTAGTTGGGAAGAATTTACTTGTTGTTACAGTAAGCATTTACCATTCATTTCTTCATTTATTCAGTATAAAACTCTGTTCACTTTATTAAGTTTTATGTGACAAATAACTGTGATATATGGAAAAATCATGCAAATATTTGTCATATAAAATCTGAAAGTTTGAACAGAGTTTGAACTGCATTTTCCGAAATTTGATATACATATTTTGTGAATAACACATTCCTTCTTTCTTTCCAGACATAAATGAATGTGTAAGCGGACCTTGTCAGAATGGCGGGATATGTACTGATGGTGTGAATGGATACACTTGCCAATGTGTACCTGGTTGGGCAGGACCTAATTGCGCAGACAGTAAGTGAACACTATTGATTCATTTACTTTGTTCTGTATAAAAGCTCTGTCCCCAATGTCTTATGTGACAAATAAACAAAACTTAGATATTATGAGAAAATTGATTGACTTGTCAGTGAATAATTACATGTAGTTTGAGAGAATTTACTTGTTACAGTAAGCATTTACCATTGATTCATGAATTTATTCAGTATAAAACTTGATAGCGTGAACAGATATATTCCCACAAATTTGAAAAATACAGTTGGTTTTTTTTAATAACACATTTCAGACATATATGAATGTGTATTTTTATTATTATTATTATTATTATTATTATTATTATTATTATTATTATTATTATTATTATTATGTCATATTTTGAAGTAATCTTCATTTTAAAATTTCAAAATGCATTTAGTTTTAATGTATTATTATTCATCTATTTCTGAAATTATTATAATTGTATGTATTATTGATATTAATCTTTATATTTATTTGTTAACTAAATTTTTTTTTTTTTTTTTTTTTTTTGGTTTAAATGTATTTTGTTTGCATTTAAGACCCAGATGATTGTAATCCTAACCAGTGTGTAAATGGAGCTGTGTGCATTGACCTGGTGAATGACTTCTGCTGTATCTGTCCAGCAGGATTTGAAGGAACACTTTGTGAAATAAGTAAGAAGACCCTCATTACATCTGCATCTTGTCAAAATAAAAGAATCTGTTTCTTTATCATATGGGTCTTGTTTGTTTCTACCACCACAGGAAAATTTATTTTTTAAGAACCAGAATAACTGTGACATGGAAAAATCACACAAATTTGTCACATAAAAATCTTGATATTGTTGTTAACAAAGCTTTAACTTTCATTTTCTGACATATCTAAAACACATTTTGTTTACTAATAATAACACATTCCTTTTTTATAGACACATACGAATGTGTAAGCGAACCTTGTCAGCATGGCGGGATTTGTACTGATGTTGTGAATGGATACACTTGTCAGTGTCCACCTGGATGGACGGGACCTGATTGTGCAGACAGTAAGTTCAAACCATTGATTCATTGACCACACTCAAGCTTTGTGTAACAAATAACAAAACATAATAGTCCCATAATTCCTATAAAACAACCACATTTCCTCATTGAAATTAGAAAAGGCCCAAGACTTTTTAGGGGGTTTTGGAAGCGATGGTTCTGTAATCGATTTTAATTGCCATTGCGTTTTGTAGTTTATTAAATTATTTTACTTTTTGTTTTCCTTCCCCATTTCAATTTTATTGATTTGTATTCATTAGAACCATATTCTTAGTCAGTTTAATGCAGGGGTGGTGGGCATAAAATCGGTCGGGGTGCCAAAGTGAATTTTTGATTTAACACCGAGGGCCGCACCCAAACTTTGATGTTTCCAGTGAGCTTCCAAAAACCTCCAAGCACTGCTTTTACACCAATTTATTTTCAGTTTTAATATTATTTTTTAGATATGATCAGTGGCAGACAATAAAAAACAAGGTATTGTCTAGTCAGTGTTGCTTGGCGGGCCACACACGTAGGGTTTTTAATTCATCTTCGCGGACCGCAAAAACACTGATGTCGGGCTGCACTTTGCCCACCTGTGGTTTAACGTACGTTTTGATTTACAATTTTATCCCGTAGATTTCTGGCAGCAGGAAGATTAATCCTGCATTATGTTCTAGCAGAACCCACCTAAAACATCAAGAAATAAATTAAATCTAAGTTTGTAAGTACAGTATAACACCAATTATCTGTTCTAAACATTTCAATTATAATTTTTTATATTTAATACAGATATCAATGATTGTGACCCTAACCCATGTCAGAATAATGGTCTCTGTTTGGATGGGATTAACTGTTACTTTTGCATTTGTCCACCTGGATTTGAAGGAAACAACTGTGACATCAGTATGTACATTATTTTAAAATCGCTTACCGATTCTTTTTTTTTTGGTAGG